TTCTGCTCATCAGCCATGCTTCTCTATGCCACTCCAGGGTCACGATTTTAGTCAACCGAGGATTTGTGCCCAAAAAGAAATTGAAACCGGAGACCAGGCTGAAAGGACAGGTAAGGGGGATACAGGGAATGTTGTGCATTACTTTCTGCCCTGCGGTTACCCAGAGGCACTACTGACAAACCAGTAGTTTGGTTTGTCAAAGAAAGGCAAGCAGCCATGTTCAGCATCGTGGGAGGTTACTTAGTCATTGCGCTTTTCAAAGAAGATAAACCTTTTCTTCCCACCTTTTTGTTAAGTAAATAATGTTTTTTACAGACAAGGAGCTGTTCTTGATCTGCCTTTTTCCCTGCTGTGTTACAGCACTGCCCCACGGCAGGGCACGACCAGTTGATTTGTAATCGGACCCCACAAGTGCCCTATTTTTCTGCCAGGACCTGGCATGCCAGAATATGAAACGAACCTTGAAAGATTCCTTTTTTCTCCTCTGCACTTCTCTTCAGATTGAAGATGAAATTGATCTCACTGGGGTGGTGAGGTTATCAGAAACCCGGAAACCTTTTGTGCCTGAAAACAACATCGAGAAAAACCGCTGGCACTACCGCGACCTGGAGGCTATGGCAAAGGTGACCGGTGCTGAGCCCATCTTTATCGATGCCGATTTCAGTAAGTCACAGAGGAACCCAACCCCACACCAATTTACGTTGGTCTCCCCGCCTTTCCGTTCAGTTAGTTATTTCCCCTGGGCCCTTGGAAAGGCATTGCATCTTTCTCTTCTTTGTGTACTCTGCTAGGTTTACTATTTTGAAGGTGATAGGCAGCCAGCGCTGGGGAACGGTAGCATGCTCGGGAGATGCAGGTGGTGTTCGATGCCTTGAGCACAACCAGCCGCTTGCTGTAGGGCCGCCCGCCCCGCAGCTCTGGCTTTGCCGGTAACTTGGGAACACCGTTGCCTGAGGAAGAGGAGCAGGGTATCCAGATGACTGACCACCTTCATCCCGTTTCTCAGAGCAAGGGCAGCTCTATGCGGTGCAGACTAGAGATTTAACTTGTGTGCTGTGTCGTACCTATAGGAAGCACGGTCCCAGGGGGGCCCATCGGAGGCCAGACAAGAGTGAGCCTGAGAAACGAGCACATGCAGTACATCATCACCTGGTAAGTTACCCAGCCAGTGTTTGACTGACATTCCGTGGGGTTTTTGAAGGTAAAGCTTTGAACTGCGTTCTGTTGAAAGCAAGGGAGCAATTTTTGCCGGGCGTTCTTGCTCCTGCACGGGTGAGACTGGATGAGCTCTTAAGCTAAAAAAGCCTAAAGTTTTAACCTAAGTAACAT